GTTTATATTATAATTTGACATTCGTTTTTAGACGTGCATGGGGAATCCCCATCGATGAATCACAATAAAGCCTGCCCTACTAAAATTAGTTTGGTTCTTTTGCTTAACGAGCTGTTCAGGATATCATCCAAACCATTTGTGGAATAGTTGAATCATTAGGGTTTTCGTTCGGGCATGGTATTTTTTCTTAGGGTGGTACACTGAAAAATAATAACTAATAAAAAACTTCCATACCCGAACGATTACCCAAATGAAGAAACTATTCCACAAATGGTTTGGATGATACTCGGAACACATCGTTAAGCAAAGTTACCATAAAATTTTATTGAAGCTCCATATATCTTGATAGAGCTGGAATCAGGGCGGAACAGCTTTTGTAAACAATGCCTTCTCGCGATGATTTCTATGAACTCAAGACACGCCCACGCAAACCAACAAAACCATCGGGTAGGGTAAGTCTTCGTCTATCCGTTGAAGATGATGGTTTGCATGGGCGAGCCTTGACTGTTTAGAAATCATCGAGAGAAGTCATTGTTTACAAAAGCTGTTACGCCCTAGTTCCAGGTCTATCTAGATATGCTTATTTGTTGAAATTCTACGAGAAATGCAATTAAATTTTTAAAGTTAAACCACAGACAAACAGACATAACACATTGAATATTTGTCACTGTAAAATATCTTTCAAATTAACCGTTAAATGCTTGTTCGATGAACAACTTGCGAGTTTTATGTCTGTTTGTCTGTGGTTAAACTATCTTTTTGAGAAAAAAAAAACTTATGGTTTAGAAAAGTTTAAAATAAACTTACTAAGCTATTGCTGATTGCATCTGAAACAGGACTGCCCCAAAAATGCTAAAACCACAGACAAACAGACGTAACACTTTGAAACACTTGTTCTTGAAAACGTAGTATCTCAAAACATATAACCTCAGTAACGACATCTCTCTGGCTTCTCGCGGAAAACAAGCTTGCTCGCTAACTCGTAAACAATATTGCATAAAAGTTGTATAGAATATATAGAAACGTTAAAGTGATCCGATGCCAGCGCTACGGCGAGTAGTTCGCGGAACTGATAATATTCAAATCAACCGTTAAATGCGTGAACGAATATACACAATGAAGTGTTACGTCTGTTTGTCTGTGGTTAAATGCATGAACGAAGATACACAATCAAGAGTTACGTTTGTTTGTCTGTGCAAAAACTGTGTTAAAAGTGCACGTTTCAGTCAAATCGATTTGGTGTCTTCAGAGCATATAATATCATAGAGGTAACTCTAAGACCAGAAGGTCCCGAATAAACGTGCTCAACTTTTCTTTTTGACTCAGCTCTGATACTCACTTCGGTCCCAAGCTAATCGATGCACCCCTCGAAACATAAGGAAATCCACGAACCCCTCATTTTATCTGTCAAAATTCCATAGCGAATCAAAACAAACATTGATCAATGTTATTCAAGCTGATGTATGAAATAATGATGTAATAGCAAAAAGCAGATACAATATTACATCAATGGATGTAATTTTGTTCGCAAAATCGATGTACATCGTACAACATTATATTACACAACCGATGGATTGACCTGGTTGCAGCAGTTTGGATGTAATATTCATCAACTTTTTTTTCTGTGTAGTCATGTAGTGAGCCAATTTAAAATCGTTAGTTTCCACCGGTTGTTAATACTTGCATCATACACTCTATTTCTAAACAACCCAAATTTGAGTAGGATGTACTCATATCCGTCAAAAGTAGGGCTACCCAAATTTGAGTAAACAAAGTTTGAACTGACGAGATGACAAATGAACAACATCGTTCGGATTCAGGTCGATGTTATCTATTCGTCATCTTGTCAGTCCCCAACTTTGTTTAATCAATTTCGGGTAGCCCTACTTTTGACGGATATGAATAGATCCTACTCAAATTTGGGTTGTTTAGAAATAGCGTGTAAGGAATAAGTGCACCGACGACATCAAGACGATTAATCCTATTGATCAGTTCACGAAGATTTGCCGCACTCTTCTCTCACCCGTAAGTTTTGACAGTTTTGGGTGGTTTGTTTTGGCTCCCATTCGTTGCTATCTCTTTTACTCAGAAGCAAAATGATAGGGAGCAAAAAGTGAGGTTAGGGACCGTGCACTGATCTATAGTATACAGATCGAAGCGAAACGAAATTTGAAGCACGCGAAAAATCATGAAATTTTGCTAGCGAAAAAGGTTGTGAAAAAATGTGTGTGGAACCACAGACAAACAGACATAACACATTGAATATTTCTCACTGTAAAACATGGTCGCAAAAACATTACCGCAATCTGTGGGTAGTACGCTGAACAGATGGCGGTAGTGTGTAAACGTCAAACGCAAGGTAATTGACTATGCGCGCCACAGGTGGCGGTACTACCAACTACGATACTTTTAAATTGACCGTTAAATGCTTGTTCGATGAACAACTTGCGAGTGTTATGTCTGTTTGTCTGTGGTGGAACATTTTCCAGTTTCCTTTTTTCGCAGTTTACAGTTCATGTGAAACGAAATCGATCAGTTTACACCTTCGGTGAAGTGAAAATCTGACAGATACGCTCTCCCGAAACGTCAACTTTTCGCTTAGCTGCTGCTCTTTTCGCGAGCGCTGCATGCGCGAAAAAAAAAATAAACGTAAGCGAAAAAGATGCGATCCACAACATTAGATTTCGCTGGATCGTATCTGTTTAAGCTTAGTATACAGATCGAAGCGAAACGAAAATTGATGCACGTGAAAAATCATAAAATTTCGCTAGCGAAAAAGGTTGTGAAAAGATGTTTGTGGAACATTTTCCAGTTTCCTTTTTTCGCAGTGTGAAACGAAATCGGTCAGTTTACACCTCCGGTGAAGTAAAAATCTGACAGATACGCTCTTTCTCGAAACGTCAACTTTTCGGTTACCTGCTGGTCTTTTCGCTAGCGCTGCATGCGCGAAAAAAAAATGAACGTAAGCGAAAAAGATACGATCCACAAAATAAGATTTCGCTGGATCGTATCTGTTTACAGTTCAAAGCGAAGCGAAATATTTGCCAATAGCGTTTTTCACGCTGGTGAAAAATTTAGTATTTTGTATGAGATTTTCGCTTCGCTTCGATCTCTATACAGGCCTTTAGACGAAAACTCGCATTCTTATTCGAAATTCGACAGTGAGCATGCATAAGGCCGCGGCCAGGGTAAACGCGACACGCGATGCGACTCACGCAAGAAATAATAATAAATAATAAGATTCTTTTGAATTGGTCGCGTCGCATCGCGAATCGCGTCTACCCTGGCCGCGGCCTAAGGGCGTATACGCGATGATCGATTCTCTTAATCGATTTTCTCTTTACATTGCTGCAGAAAGCGAAACAATTTTCTAGAATTTGTTCAATGCAGAGCTATCAAAAACAACAGCAAACGCACCGAGAAACGTTAGTTCTAGCGAGTTATTAACAAAAGAGAAACTCTACGAATAGAATCGATCATCGCCCTTATGCAAGCTCACTGTCGAATTACACTTTTTAATAAGTGAAAACGCGCTTTGCGCTTATTAGTCCAGTGTGATTACATTAGAAAAAAAATCACCATCTTAGCGCCCCTCGTTATTATTTTGCCTTAAATTTTGATTTAATGGGTCTATGGGATCGAAAAAAAATATCATTGTGCTAATATTCAAATAATAAAATAATTCAAATATACTTATTGATATATATTTCAAAATAAAAGAACCCAATTAACACCAACTAATCGTTTATGTCGATTAGTAAACATAGTGGTAATCGATTTCAAACCAATGAATTATAATTTCGATAATTCGATTAACCATAAAGATTTATTTTATTTGGCATCCCTACGTATGCATTTCAAGCTCAACATTGCATTAGGCCCTAAGTAACATTGATCGATTCTCTTCGTCGACTTTCTCTTTCGTTAATAACTTGAGCACATAACCACAAACGAAGTGACAGACGGAGCGGCTCGAAAACTTTAATGACTAACCTGCTATTGCAATTTTTCAGTGTACCACATGGCAACACCACTACTACTGGATTGTACCACATCACCAAATGTACTAGAATGTTTTGGTTCTATCTCTTTCACTCTACTCAAAACTGAAATGCATAAAAAATGACAAAATGATACGCACTCTTTGCACACTGTCAAAGAATCATTGTACACAAAATCAACTTTGTGCAAAACCAAAACAAAAAGACTATTCCATCTGGTGGATGATGGCACAAGCTTCTAAGAAAATTCTATTACAGCGAACCACATTATTTTAATTGATTTCTTCGCCAGTTAGTCGTCTGTCACTTCGTTTGTGACATAACTGTTTCTTGTTGTGTTTGTCGTATTACGTGCTAGATAAAAGCTTCTTTTATCGATATGTGTGCTGAAAATACCTGGGAATGTCTTTACATGGCCGTGGGGGATACAAAGAGAAAGTCGACGAAGAGAATCTGTCAATAATACTTAGGACCTAATGCAATGTTCAGCTTGATTTACTTCTTGGTACGTAAATAAACAAACATAGATTACATGAAGTTGTATAACCAATACGTTACAAAAATATAATTTGTAATAAGGTTTAAATCACAAATTGCTTGTAACTTTGTGTTACACAATTATATATTCGTCATGAAATTCACAATCGACCGCAGCTGAATCATTTACCCAGCGCTAGTAGCCCGTTTGAAGGTAGGATAAAATAAGTTCCTGGTGAAATAGAGATCTCTAAACGCTTAAGTGGAAGTGTGTTAAAACGAGAATCACTAATAGCGATTTTTTCTAATACTCAGGTTGAAACCAGTCTCAAATCATGTGAACCCGCACTATTTGGCTGTTTGATCCTCGACCGGAGCTAGTTTACAAAAACAAACGTTCAATCTGACGATTGTTTCAAACAGGCAGCTACTTCTTCCAGTCTCAGTCCGATCCAGGTTGAAAACAATTCGGTGTGGGTCAGGTGCGTGAAATCATTCAGAGTGATCCGACATTCAGAGTGTTGATCCGACCCGATGAGGACATCTCATATACTGGATACTGGATATCTCTGAAGACGGTAAAACTAATCGCTCTAATTGCGGTATAATCGTAATTGGGTGTGAATGTCACGATCATTTTACTACATACATAGAGAGTGTTGCAAATATCGCCAAAAGTTCATTATCGCAAGCGAGATGTTTTCACTAGGGATCTGTGCGATGCAAATTTCGGAAAACGTTATTTCTTGATTGAGAGGAACTAATATCAGTCCCGCTTTGACTCACAACTCTAATAAAAAATACCATAAACGAGTGATTACCCAAATCATATTTCACAAATGGTTTATATTAGATATACTCAGAGGGAGAGATGGGCGGAGAGATTTTTTTGACCAAATGAACTACTGTCAAATTCTAAGCCAATCGAACAATCCCATTAGAATTTTTCCGAGAATTTCTTATTCTTACTACTTCTTAAATTTGGTGTTGTGAGAGCGTATAGCGAGGAAAATACATAACAAATCAAGCTGAACATTGCATTAGGTCCTAAGTAACATTGACAGATTCTCTTCGTCGATTTTCTCTTTGCATCCCCACGGCCATGTAAAGACATTCCCAGGTATTTTCAGCACACAGATCGATAAAAGAAACTTTTATCTAGCATCTTAAACGACGAACACATCAAGAAACGGTTCTGTGATCAAGTTATTAACGAAAGAGAAAATCGACGAAGAGAATCGATCAATGTTACTTAAGACCTAATGCAATTTTCAGCTTGAAATCGTTATCAAACTCGTTCTGACAGATCTAATTTGAAGCGGCTAGGAGGAAAGGGGTGTGCGTGACTTTGATCGATTCTCTTCACCGTTTTCCTCTTTCGTGAATAATTCAGAGCTGCAAACAAATTCCTTGATTCGTGTGCCATTCTGGATGCTAGATGAGAACCTTCTTTATCAAACTATGGGGCAGAAATAGCGCAAAACCTGTTTCTAAAGCTGTGGCTATCAAAAGAGAAAACGGATAAAGCGAATCAATCAAAGTCAGTTACACCCCTTTCCTTCTAACCCCCTCATTTCATACATTTTTTAGGTTAGCCAAAGGAAAATAATAAACAACTTTACACGGCGATGCACCCGCAAGTGTGCGTGCGTGCCGGTGACGGTGATGTTTTGGTAAGCGTGACTGCTTTCTCACCCCAATGGGTCTAGGTTCAATTCCTGCCGAGGTCGGTGGGATTTTTCTGAGACATAAAAATCTCTGGTCACGTCTTCCTTCGGTAGGGAAGTAAAGCCGTTGGACCAGGCCCATGTATGTTTGAATGGGTGCGCTATCCTACACAGGTGTGGAAGCTGCCTTCCTGCACATTCGGTTGCCGTCAATGGATGGCAATCGATGTCCGTCGGTGATTGGCACTAGATTGCGAAACAGAGACCGACGTTAAATTAAGTAATGAAGAAGAAGAAGTAGACGAAGTGTGCGTGCGTTAAACGTCACTAATTTCTATACAACCTGTTACAGCACTGTTTTGGTTACACATTGTCAGACAATTCGACAGTGAGCATGCATAAGGGCGTATACGCGATGATCGATTCTTTTCATCGATTTTCTCTTTGCATTGCTACAGCTAAGCAAAACTATTTTCTAGAATTTGTTCAATGCAGAGTTGTAACAGGTTGTATTGGCTATCAAAAGCAACAGCAAACGCACCCAGAGACGTTAAGTTTAGCGAATAATTAACAAAAGAGGAAATCCACGAAGAGAATCGGACATCGCGTTTAAGCCCTTATGCAAGCTCACTGTTGAATTGTTACCCTTAGCTGTAGCTAAAGACGAGGCTAAAGATAATCGATGATTGCAGTTAGGCCCTTGTACCAACAATCAATACGAAACTAACGATTTTAAATTGGCTCACCACTTGACTAGCCTATTGGTCCCAAGCAAACGATTAACGTACCCTATTCTAGTCGAAATTCTAGTACTACGCAATGTTTGTTTTGATTCGCTATGAAAGTTTGACAGATAAAATGAGGGGCTCGTAGATTTTCCTATGCTCCGAGGGGTGCATCGATTAGCTTGGGACCGAAGAGAGTACCAGAGCTGAGCCAAAAATTTGAGCTCGTTTTTTCGGGACCTTCTGGTCTTAGAGTTACCTCATACTTTCATAGCGAATCAAAACAACTATATTTAATAGACTTTAGACTTGAATGGGGAACGCTTATAGATGTACTTGGGACCAATAGGCTAGTCAAGTAGTGAGCCAATTTAAAATCGTTAGTTTCCACCGGTTGGTATGACTGTACTTGCTACACAATTATACTAATGCAAAAATGGTACAGGCATCGCAACATTTCAGTATTTTCTATGGAACATTTCATAACTTTTGCGGGAACTTTTAATCTTTTTTATTGATCATTTCCCTTGTTTTAAAGATATTTTTAATTTTACTGGTGCAGTTTTTCTTATTTATTGTACCTTACCATTTTTGTATTGAGCATTTTAGCTGAACTATTGGCAATCTGCCTTCTTTTTTTGTGCGTCTATTGAGTTTTAGGGTGTATTTTATTGCTTCTATTGGTACAAAATATGGGCTGTCCAGAATGGACCTGGAATCTTACACAGAAGTGTCTTTGAATTCTCCTGATATTTCCCTTAAAATTTGGCCCAATATTATCGATTTAATTTTACAATAAAAGCCATGAAATTCAATTCAGAATTTACTTGGAATGCTTTACCAAACTCTCATGGAACTCTTCACGGAATTCCCTTGAAACTCTTGTTAGGACTATTCCTCGAATTCTCATAGAATACTCCAATCGAGCATGATTGTTTCTTTTTCACTCAATGTGGTGCAGTGTTGGAAAAGTTCGCGATATTTCACGAAGTTCTCCAAGGGAAAAGTTTGCGAGTCATAGTGATTTTTTGCGAACGTTTCCATCACTGATGTGGTGAAAGTATTGAGATCACGTTAATAATTTAGTCGAACTAAAATTGAATAATTTTTGGTGGTCATTTATCAATGCGCTATTGAATGCTCTATTGTGCGTTTTTCACAGGGAACACCAGCGCGATCAATGCGTAGACGACAAATAAAATATTTTTATTGGTATGTGTCGAACAGTGTACACTGATAAAAATTCAAAGATTGTTTTATGTGTGCCACACTTGAATTTTTGCAATGTGATCAACAAATGATATCAATGACTCGGACTTATTATGCCATGAAGTCCATGAAAGTGGTCAGTGATGTTTAAGGGATGGTTTGTAACACATTCCCAGTAGGCCATGTTTGATGTTTTATAATACAAGCTAGCGTAAACCTTATTCTACGGTTATCTTTAATTATCTTTTCATACATTGATTTCTTGCAAAAACTTTATTGCAGACACTTTTATAACTTTTGATGGCGCACATTTTTGCTCAAGCAATTAGGGTACTATCTATTTTGTTTGAAGAGTTATGGCAGTTTTTTGCATAGAAATATGACTTTTTTTTAAATTAAATTAAATACTTTAAACAAAAATCGCTTTCGCAGTTTTCCCACCGTTATTGAAAAAAATAATGATTTTTCAAATGGAATTAAAACTTGAAAATCGGTTTGCTCCTTTTAAAGATATTGACAATTGAAAAATGCCAGTTTTTTTAAAAAGAAAATCGCCTTTAACTTTCCAATTAAAAAAGATAGCAACTTGGTTGCTCCAGCAAAAATATTTGCCATTGAAAGGTCTAAAAGTGTTAAGAAAATTTGTTCTACGAGAAATGAATGTATGAAAAGATATTCATAGAAAATCAATTTTTCAGGAGCCACTCTAACTTGCTTGTTTAAAAAAATCATAACTCATGAACCATAAGAGATGGAAGTTTAGTGGCTTGAGAAAAGGTGCCGCAAATTGATTGTTCTGCAACTTTCTACAACATTGCACTGGTCTATCTCACATAATAAAAAAGTTCACATTTTCAATTCACCAATTTTATGGACCACCCTAGTTTCATTAACATAAAAAAATTGGCAAAAAAATATGAAGAAACTTTCCGTAAGACACCACATGCCTAAATCAATGGTTTTAGCGCAAACATTTTTGTCTTCCTTATTTGTTTATCGGCTTTGGAATTACTTATACGGCTTTGGGACCATTGTGCAATGTTTTTTTAGTGCAAAACCACGTTTTCTTTAAATATTATTATATTTTTTTAAATGCTTTTAATAACCATTTATTCGAATCTGATGAAAATGAAAAATGAAAAACAAAATCGAAAATAAGCAATTTTTTGGTAACCTTAACATAGAAATGGTCACCCAATAAATAAAACGGGTCTAATATTTTAAGGGGGTAGTACACTTTGAACGTCCAAAAAGTAAGGCATTTTCGTTAATTTTTTTAAGCAATAAAACACTCAGGGAGGGCAAATATGTTATAACCCATTTATTAGTCATCCTTCGAACTACAATTTGTATTTTTTTGAACTCGATTGGCGTCTCCCCGTGGCCGGTGCACCAGGTCGCGCGGAAGTCGGAAAACGGCGTGGGAAAATACTCCTTTCCATGTGATCCTGGAACATAAATCGAACAAAAATCCTGATTAGTAATGAAATTTGGGCTAGAAATACGTATTCCTATTTTTTTTTAACTATTTTTTTCAAAAGTTGTGGCCTTAGGAAAAAAAAGTTCATTTTTTCACCCTAAAAATGCTTACAAAATCGTGGATTAAAAATCCATTTTTGACAAAATCGAAAATGTGGATACGTATTTCTAAGCAGAATTTAATTCTGAACCAGAAAACCAAGGCGATATCCAAATTTGATGATAACTGGTTAGAGTTATTTCCCACGCCAGTTTGAGATAAACGCGTTTAAAGATAAAATTGCTCTCTCTGCGCGCCGGTACATGTTTTAGGAAATCGCTTCGTAAAGCGGTAAGGAATATTATGGCGGACTTGGAGTCTTTTATAAATTAAAGTATACATCCCAAGGAACATTTTAAGCCAAAAAAAAAATGCATTTTTTTTTTTTGAAAAATCAAAGTGTACTCCCCCCTTAAGATAAGGAACAATACTACCATTTTTTTGAAATTCTGAGAACCACTATATCGTTTTTCTATGGAATGGCTGTATATATATACAGGTATACCTCGAAATAACGTAACTGTTACTTTTGACTACAATCGTCGATATCTCGCAAATAACAATACAATCATACAAATCAACATTACCAATAGATGGGAGATTGTCTTAGCTGTCCGATGGTGTTGTTTCTTTGCTTGATTGAATGATCGTTTGCCAAAAATTGACGATCGATGTCAAAAGTGACAGTTACGTTACACACATAGTTTAGATTACCGAAGTCGGTAAAATTTTACTGGGTTTTCATACAGCTGAGTTTTTAGTAATCAACCTAGAAGTTTTTAATTTAATTTAACTCCGTAAATCGCAGAATCTCTGAACTGTTAAAAACTTCTGCTCAAGTCAGTAAAGAAATTTATATCAGTAATTTATTTGTTTATATTTGTTTTTGCAGAGTTTTTCAGTATTTTTATTTCATTATTTTTTGGAGTTGGCGTGGATGTCAATTTTCACTTCCACTCATCGAGCCCATTCCGAAGATACCCATATTGCATGGATTTAGATGCATATTCCCTGTCCGGGGGTCACCATATTGGATTTTGGTCCGCCATCTTGGATCCCAAAATGACGGTGGATGCCGGTTTTTTACTTTGATTGCTATACCAAGCTTTTGATTTTCCGTTTGGTTTTTTGTTACCTCAAAATCAGCTAAGATGAAATCAGCCATGATTTTCTGTTTGTGATTTTGCTGATCTCAAGATTAGCAGTGATTTTCGGCCGTTCTTGATTTTGGATTTTTTTTTATTTTTTCCATCAGTGAATACACGGTTGTTCAATCTCACTCACAGAGAAACACAGCAAAAAAAAATGTAATATCGATCAATGTAATCCAAGCTGATGTATGAAATAATGATGTAATAGCAAAAAGCAGATACAATATTATATCAATGGATGTAATTTTGTTCGCAAAATCGATGTACATCGTACAACGTTATATTACACAACCGATGGATTGACCTGGTTGCAGCAGTTTGGATGTAATATTCAACAACTTTTTTTTTTCTGTGTAGAGAGCGAGAGAAAGAAACTTCTACTCAGATGAAATAAATTTCTAAAAACGTAAATCACACAGCGCTGAGAAACCTGAAATCTGAGTGAGATTGAACGGCCGTGTAGCTGAGTGCCTTCGGTACACTTATCTGTTGTTTACTTGAAGTTTGATTCATTGGAATGTTCCACAAAAACATGTCCAAATGTGCAATTTAAAAAATGAATCATTAGTTCATTCTGTAGTGATGAGTAAGATGAGTGAATAATCTACATGTTATTCAATTTCAGCGACCATCATGCAACCGAATGCCGACAGTCAATACTCACAACTATGCCTTATTTGCTACATGTTATTTAAAGCGCGTGATAAATCGCTGCGTTGCTCGATTGGATGCCGGACACTTAAGGCGAAACTATTTGACGATGTATTCTGTGAGTTCCAGCGTCAGGAGAAGAGTTCGGTCTACCTTTTCGATGTCAAGCCGCATCGGTACAAGAACAGCAGAATAACGTTCAGTGACCTGAAGGGTACATCGTCGAGATTGGATTTCGATTTGCTGCGATACTTTCAGGCTTATTTGCAGGTGAGGAAACTGGTAGAGCGCCCTATACGGGAGTTGGTGGTTTGGACTCGAACCGAATTCGATAGAAAAGATTTCGCCTCGAGGGATATGCTGCTGGACTACACGGCCGTGGAGGATGCTGTAGATTTGTTTGAAACGGATGACTTTGGGATCCGAAGGTATCGATTAAGTCACTTGGCAGCGATTGAAGAAGCCCTATTGAGGTCGTGTGATCCTTTGTTCAAATTGGCCACGACACTTGCCAGGTTGATGTTTAACAAGTCGACCATTAATACGGAAACCATACCGAAGAAATTGTTTTATGTCCTGCTGAGGGATGTGTTTGAGGACAGTAGATTTAGGAAGGAATTTCTCCGAGCTGGTAATGCTCTGTGCGGCGAAGCGAAGCAGTTCCATGAATTGTTGGTGCTTGTCCTAGGCGAACAGTTTCGACAAAGAAACGTGACAGGATTCAGTCAGTTGACACAAATTGAACAGAAGCCCTTTTCCGAGTTTGTTGAGCTGCGGATCGAGTCTTGCGAGTGGAATTCTACTAACAGGGATGCCTGTTGGAAGATGGATCATGCCGTGAATCGGGCAGATGTAGAGCAATTCTTCTCATTACTGGTGTTCTACACAAATGTTCCGGTGAAGGAGAAATTCAGAGCTATAGTGCAGAAACAATGCGATCAAACAACACAGGACGTTCTGGGGAGGATTTGTCAACGAGGAGTGCTACTGCAAAATGTACAAGTGGACGCTATTTTTGAGTTGATAAGCTTGAAAAAGTCAGAAGAATTAAGGACATTGGCAGGTTCATGGTTTGAATCCGAATCGCTGGTGAACTTGAGGAATGTGTTAGTACAGTTTCGGTTGCAGAGCTCTTGCAATACGTGGGTGATTGTGAGTTGTGGAGAATTGGATGTCTCGACAAGTAGAATCAGAAGTGTCTTGAAGGAGTTATCCTGCAATTATCTGTGTATGTCCGGTAGGGATTTTTTGGAGAAACGAATTAAGCTGACACATATAATGCAAGTTTTGAAACCGCCGGAGAGATGGATTTTAGTAGTTACCACCGAGGATAGCTCTTTGATAGAAACACTAAGTGAAATTGAATGTTTAATCATTGTCATAGTTCCGGAAGCTTCGTCGCCTCAGAAGACCAATGTTCTAATCCATAAGGATCAATTATCTTTTAATGACCTTCCAGATACCATTAAGGACAGACTGAAATCATCCTCCGTGTTGTTGCAAGGACATCCAATCGATTTGTGTGATTTATTGAGTAAAGATGATTTGGCTACAATTCCAGTTTCTGTATTGTCGGATTGGTGCCGCAACTGCGATCAGATAGTTATTGGACGCGAAACGGGTGGCTTTTGTGAGGAAATTTTTATCCCTAGAAGCCTTCAATCTGAAAGCAACTCTATAGAAGATCCTTTTGAAACGAGCTTTGAATCCATTTCAATTTTGTGTGGATTGCCTGGAATTGGGAAAACTTCTTTGCTCTCGAGGATGGTTGTGAATTTCCACGAGAAATATAACGATCATATTGTAATTATGGAGGACTCGAAACGAATTGTTGATTGGTTCGGTTCGAAAATCGACGGATCCGAAATTCTTACCAAATTAATAAACTTGGAGTCAGCAGATCGCTTTCAAAAATGTATACTGCGGAAATTAGTAGAAGATCGACGAGTGATCCTATTACTGGATGGGTTCGATGAAATAAGTCTAGCGAAAGAAGGAAACGCACTTGCTATGCTACAATGGATGCAGTCTGCGGGTTTCCAATCGGTCATAATCGCTACTCGACCACATAGATTACCATTCCTGAAAGACAATTTACAAAATCCAGCAATTTATTTTATGCTACCTTTCACCGAAGAAGATCAACTGGAATTCCTAAAACGGCGCCTTCAAAGTGTTTCGCCAAACGAATCCTGCATCCTAGATTTGATGCGATCGTTTCGAACGCTGATGAACGATGCTGATTCTCTTGAGATTCCGATGCAGTGCTCAATCATAGCGCGCATCTACGAGGCTCAAATCGATGACCACTCTCTAAAGCAGTGGGATGTGGCAGACGTTTTGCAAAAGTTTATCGATAAGAAATTCGACCTGTACGCTTGCAAGTTCTTTGATTTGTTCAATAGAGCACACGAAGGCGCTTTGGATGCCTTGAGATCCAGTTTTGCAACTGATCATTCAGAACTAGCTTTTACAATGGATACACTCCAAGTCATCGACAACGAATGCTTTGTGAACCTGGAACAATACGGTCTGCTGAGAATCGACGACGGAAAGGTTTCATTCATCCATTCAGCGTTTGCGGAATTCTTCCTTACCCTGTACCTCGTAAGTCATTTCGTGGATCAGGAACACTTCAACCACTACCTAGTGGAACGTTTTTGCAAGCCAACAGCCAACCGTTTCGATATGCTCCTTGAACATCATATCCGTAAAGTGACCAGTCGTCGGAAACTCGAAGGTTCTACGCCATCGATTCCGAATTCAGTTCTAAAAGAATTTCGAACTCAGCAAATGCACCGGCTACACGTCGACAAAATCAAACAATTCCACGTATTCTTCGTGGAGCGTTGCTCCGTTGAGAAACAGATCGAGTACGTACGAACAAGCATTACCAAAGGTCAATTCGGCATATTCGAAACCATCTACGAAAGTCTACCGATTAGCTTAGTTCATGTAGTTCGTTTTACATTCGCATCCAACACGAATGATCCCTTTGCAGTGGATCTCTCGACGATCAGCGAAGAGTACTTGCTAGAACTTTTGACGATCCTCCACCGACAGCATCCTTTGGATATCGTGGAAAAAATCATTGCTAGCTTTAACTCCGATGAAGACGACTTCATCACCACGGCCATCATACGCCACTACCGGACTATCATCCAGCATATATTTACCATCGAACACGATCTGAACACCGAGGATGAGAGCGATCTTCTGCTGGAGTATGTTGGTGAAAGATTTCAACGGTACCTAACTCTGGCAGTTGAGTATGGAAGAGACGACCTTCTAGCTCAAACGTTCGATTCCATCGGGAAACGGTTCCACCCGAGAGTGATCAAGTATTTCTTGATGAACCGGTCAGTGCAACAGGTGTTGATTGAATCGTGCAAGGGTGAGGAAGCATCGGCGGAGGTCGCACAGAGCGTGATCGGATTCGTCGAGCAATATTTGAGTGATTGCGATTTGAGAGTGTTGGTGAACCGGACGAATGGTGGAGAAGTGATTGTGTTCGGAGAGGGATTGAAGAAGTTGAGGAATCAGAAGGTGCAGAAAGTTTTTGAAGCTTTTTGGGAACGATATCGGACTGAGGGATGATTGAAAGATTAGGTGGATAACAGTATTTATTTGCAGTGAACAATATTTCAATTGCAAGGTGAATAATAAATCGATGTAAATATATTCAAAATAAAATTTGTGCATTGCACAATCATTTGTTTTAATTATCACTAAGCGTTATAAGCTCGGAAATGTGTCATTAAATGCACATTTTATGGTATCAATCTGTAGATTAGCAATTGTATTGCAGCAGTCGTCACTAGCTAGGAATTGGCCATCGAAGGCCCACTGGTAGAGACCATGTATGTGGCGAACCATCTCAACTCGCTGCTCGTCTTTCAGAGGTTTAGTATCACTTGGGAGCTCAACGGTGTTCAGGAACACCTGTAGTACGTTGCGCTTAAGTAGGAAACAAAGAATGACACTTTTTGGCCAAAGGTCTTTTGCACACTGGATTGCTTTCTGAAGAAATCGAGCGTTGTTGTGTTTTACAATCAGTTGAAGATACATGACGAAACGGTGGTCTACGTAGCTGTTGAGTGCGATTCGCTCTTCGCAATTGAGGTTAGGAATTAGATCATCGACCAACCAATCCAATACCTGGCAGAACGGTTTCCGACAGGCCACTTCGAGAAAGTCCTCATCGCTATCGCCAAAGTCGGTCAGATATAGTCGAACCAATTTATCGGGGTTCTTTTTCAGTAAGATGTTCAATAATTGAACGACTTGATTTGCGCCAAGTTTTTTGAGGTTGATGAAGTTAGGTTCCGGTTTGTTACCGAAGCGAAATTTCAACGCAGACTTGGTATCCGTAGGGAGGCTGTCATACAGCACTTCTAAAACGTTGAACGCCGAAAGGTTGAAGCTGCTGCGTATTAGTGTGTACCGTTCGGCTTCCGAACAATGATTCAGTAAGTAGAGGTGGATTTCTCGGAGCTTGTCCGGATGGAGACGACCAGTTGACGGTGGTTCAAAATCGTTCGGCAAGCAATCTGTTATGGTGTTATCGGTTTCAAGTTTTCTAGAAGGATCGATCTCCCCAATGTGGAAGTTCATGAATTTTGTAACGATGCTCTCTCGAGATGCACACAGATTTTGGCGCATGAAGGAAATAAATGCTTTATTGGCATTAGTTGCGTGAGTAAGGAAATACAAACTGACGAAATATTCAAGGTAGGTATAGTGGACAAATCCAAAGGAATCTGAAGGATGCAGTCGGACCAAGCCGTAGGTTTGCAGTTGGTCGAAAAGCTGCTTCAGTTCTGATTCCGGAGCGTTTGAGTAGATTTTTTGCGCCATTGCGATGTGATCTGGAATAAAATTTTCCTGCTGGGTGCGTATGGCATTTTCATGGGCTTTGGATGTTAGATCGAACTGGCGTTTGATTGATTCTTGAAATTTTAGTTCAATAAACTGCTTATAAATGTTGCCGATCTCGTAGGGTTTGGGTTGCTCGAAATCTTTTGCCATGATAGACGTTTGGTAGATGACAGCAATCATGTATGTTTGCAAAGGTATACCGATCAAGGATCCATCTTTGAGCATGGAGCGGAATCTGTTTATCAGCTCTATGGCGTTTTCTTCGGTGTGATCATTTTCGTCAGCCAAATCATTGACCTTCCAGAAACTCATCAGATACTCTAGCTGGTCTGATGTGCTGAAAGGTTCCAACTTACATATAATGCATAAGGGGAGAATCTTCTGGATTAGAGTGTTGCAATGTGGTCGGGTAGCGATAACAAGCTTGAACAGCCTTGTCTTTGATATGGTATTTAACATCGCCTCCAGGTTGGTTCTGCAACTGCCACTCACTTCATCGATTCCATCCAACAGCAGAATCATCTTTCCCAGCTCGATAATTTTTCGCACAACAACTTCCTTTGTCCCTCCTCTGATGTTAGTCATTTGACATACAATATATGCGAAATCTTCCTTATCGCCGTGATGCCTTAGAACACCTTTACAATCCAAGCAAACAACCAGATGATCTTTATAAGTCTTTCGCATCTCAACAGCGATGTTAATCAATTCGGTGCTTTTACCCATGCCGGCTTGATCGGATACGACGATTTGCTGATAGTCTTTGCTGCGTATCAAATCTAGCACATTTGTCTCATTCTGCTCAACCTTCAGCTGTCTTTCTCGGAAGTGTTCGTCAAGCTGAAGTTCGTTGCCTTCCAGCTGTATTGGTCTTTGGATTTGAAAAAGGTCCAACGCCAATCGATAATTCTCCTTTCGGAAGAGCTCATTCCCATAGATCTCGCCTGCCTTTGCCGCCTGCTGCTCAGATAGAAAGATTTCCCGGCTACTGATTATATCCTTACTGTCTGGATGCAGCGTACTAATGTCAAACTTATCCTCGAAGCCATTGTCTAGCTGACCACCAACAAGTATCGCTTTAACCTCACTCGTTGATAGTTTGGTTTCGATGTCCTGTAACTTATTTTTAGGCACTTCTGTAATAATTATGCACTTTAAACCGATTTCGACTAATATCTTCTCTTTTAAAATAGCTTGCAAATTATCCCAGTTCTTATAGAAGTTGCTGCAGTTCACGACCAAATATCGCTCATTCAGTGGAGCCAAGCAATTTTTAATTGGTGAAATCAGACGAGAACCAGAGCATTGCACGTCCTGTACGGCTTTCACGTGTAAACACCTTCTTGAACTATCCTGCATGAATTCAATAACTTTTTGTTGTAACACATCTAAGTCATCAAATTGCAGATTTGTGTAGGGACGAGAAACCATATTTTCTCGATGTTTCATCAGTAAGAATAGTTTATCAGTTATCTTCTCATCGATCATTTTCTTGAATGCACACTGCTTTAGTATCTCACATAATTGTTTAAAGCATCCCACTTGAGTTATTAAAAACTTTTCAAGATCAATTGATATTGGCACCTTAACATAGAAGATAAAGCGCTGGCGAAATTCCTCCAAATCCGTCACCTGAGGCTCGTGCTCCCATTTCTTCCACTGTACATCTGCCTTAGTGCCTTCTGTAAAATCTGCATCAACCATCACCTGATAGTAAGTCTTATATTCGTCGCTGTTCAAATCTGCCATGGTAAACGAACCAATTTTTTTCCTAATAAACATAGCCTTCATCACTACTTCAAAATATTTCCGGAATTGTACGGTTTCCGGAAGCAACCCTTCTCCGGTGATGAAGTGTTCCTTGAACTTGGAATTCACCCCATTGCACTCGATGATCTCCTTTGCCATTACGCGATAGTAGCTTTTAGCCGCATATTTTGAGCTCCATTCTTTTTTTTCAAACAAAACATGAACGAACTTATCGATGAGTGTTGTTCGGGGATGAGCATCGTCCAGAAAGCTCTCAGAAATATCCTTAAATTTGTCCTTCTTAAATCGGAATCGTTCGTAAGGCAGGCTTCCGTCGTTTTTTAGTATGTCTCTTTCGTCATCTGTTGGAACATACTTCTCAAACCAATCCTGAACGTTTTTAGCGAATGACATATTTGTCCATATTATTAACTGCTCCAGTTGCTCCAGTGGGATGGTTTTTTTCAAAAAGAGGAACGTCTTGAAATATTTCAAAACGCACGTCTTCGCGTCATCACACAGATAAATATCGGTTATCGTCCGTGTCGAATGTTTTACTTGCAGTAAATTGGTGACCGTTCTTGATCCTGGTAAAGCAACATGTAGAACAATATCATCCAGGGCCCCAAATCCGTCGATGGCACTTCCGATTTTAAATTCCGGAAAACGATTCTTGTGCTTCCGAAGATGTTCGATACAGTAGAGCAATGTGTAATGCTGGAAATCAAAACCAGTTGTGTCGTTCTCTCCTTTATTGGAACGTCCTCCGTCCATGGTTGAGTCTTTAAATAAACTTTGATTTAATTAGTCATTGATTTTATTGCAGTTAAATATAATACTCACCAAGATTTTAAAAGATGATTGCAACTGAGGAACTAAATGCGGCCGGTACGTTGTGACTCATTGTGCAATGTAAATAATGATAATGGTTTTGTTTACTTGTTTTGATTTAATATAAATCTGCCACGTGGGCATTTCACTCAGCTTGTCGCCTACACGCTTAGTTCAGTTCACTCATAAATAGGAAATTGATTCACCCATATTTGGGTTTCTGATAAAATTTCTATAATATGCGTGAATGATATTGTTAAAAATCCATAGAATTCACTCACATGGTGAGTAAAGCTACGGTAATTGCACTATACTGATATTATGGTGCAAAAACAAACGGCCAAATCCGCGTTGTTTCCGACATTGGTTTTCTATTTCTGCTGCTGCCGTTCGTGTGGTGGTGCTGCTATCATCCCATCTGCTCATCATCTGATCTGCAAAGCTGTAATCCCGCTCAGAATCACTTGATTGGTAAGCATTTTGGAAGATGCTCGACCGATATAGGGGAATTTACGTATTCTCGGCAACCTAAGCAGCGATCTTCTTTCTATAGCCTTTTTCTCTAAGGAACGCACACATATGCAGTATTGGTTTGTTTACAATCTTTTGCTGCCAGCTGTTCTAACAATTTCAGTCGAAAGAATCGTCAAAAACTGTTTTGAAACGCATTTACAAAGCTCCAATCTTCTCTAGTGAGAGCGAGTATTGTCGGCAACCAGTTTTTCTTCGGCAACCGTTCCATTTGAACTGCATGTAAATCTGCTGTTCTATTATCGGCAACTCGAAATCAGCTACAATTTGTAGTGCGTGTGTTGCATTTCAAGAAAACCTTGCTAGATTGCTTTTTCTCAGTGGTAAAAATATAGTCAAATTGAAGCTGAAAGCATAAAGAATCGTTCGCATGCATTCAGCGAAGTGTTTTCGTAAGAAAATCCAGTGAAAATAGTGTTCCAATTTGTGTTGCCGAAAATAGTCTGTCATACCGAAGCCGTCATTTCCCCTAGGTATCGTTTATTATTTTTCTCTTTGTTTTCACAGTCGCAGGAACTGTTTTCATCCGACGGACGAGGAGATTGACCTGAGGAACCTTCTTGGACGACAAGTATTCAACCGAAAGGCAATACCCTCATGCCGACTAGCGTTGTGACGCCACTTACATTCATGCTAATACTTATGACAGACGTGCCGAATATGGGTATTCTTCACCCATCTTTGGGTGAACTGAACTAAGCGTGTACTTGGTCGCGTACACGCTATTTCAAAACGTTCCCAAATTTGAGTAAGATCTAAGCATATCGGTCAAAAGGAATTAAAGCTCTCAAAAATGAGTAAACTAAGTTGGGAGCGACAAGTTCACAAATGGACAACATCGACCTGAATCCGATGGATGTTGTTTGTTTATCAACTTGTTAATCCCATCTTATTTTGCACATTTTGGAATAAGTTCACTCTTGACCGATATGAGTAGATCCTACTCAAATTTGGGTAGTTTAGAAATTGCGACAATACAACCTTCAGTGACTCTGTTAGTAGGTTGCATGCAATCTACATTCAAAAATATTATTAAGGCTGTGTCCCACTTGCCAAGTTAAGTTTATCAGCAAAACAAAGCTCTTATTGCATATCCATTTACGCTTCTATACAGCTTTTATGTTTAGTTCTACGTGAACTTCAAAGGCGCTTATTCAACCTTTTCCTGATCATCCAATAATCACTACACAGCTTTAGCTTGAAGCCGGGTTAAATATGGTATACTTTTTTGATGGAGGAATTTATTGATTTTATTTGCTGCGAAATTAGTTCTAGGCACCCCACCAGATTGTTACCCTGCACCGGAACCTAGGGCCACATTGCGCATCTCGAAACGAAAAACTTTTTCATACAATCATTTGTACGAACTGGACTCGAACTCCAGACGACCGCATTGGCAAACCTTGACACTACACACTAATCCGTTGTTCGGTAAATTTTGAACTACAGAACTGTTCGGTAAAAGTTTAAAAATCAGTGAAAAATCCAATTATTAAAAAATTTATCCCGAACTTGTACAGAAGTTATTCAGTTTACCCCATTTATTGATGAAAAATAAAATTTATAAATTTTCTTGATTTCTCACGTGGAACGGTCATTTGAAAATTTTACCGAGTTGTTCTGCTGTTCAAAAACCCGGTAAATTCCTACCGACTTTGGTGATCTGAATTAAGTGTGTACCGTCTTCGCTACACACTTAAAATCAAAATCTGTCCTCGGTGAAATATATTAGGTTTTGCACCGTCAGGGTTAACCTCAATCTGATGACAGTTCAGTGGTACTGTTTACGTGGACTTAGTCGATTTTTTCTTGGGTGGATTTTCTCGATAATTTTTCAGAGTGCAGTGAGATGTAAACCACACTTCTGCATTGTCCACGAGCAACATCCTTTCACCGCGCTGTTCCTCGACAATTTTCAAGTTAAAATTCGGAAATTTTAGAATTTGTTTTTTCGAAAAAAACGACTAAGTGCTTGTAAACAGTACCACTGAACTGTCAAAAAGGTTCAGCCTATTAACACTGAGTTCATTTGTGACGTCACGCTGCAGAACCTTATAGACGAGTGCACGGATGGATTTGAGTTCATTCACTCGACAAAAAGTTACACAACAGCGGGGCTCTGTTTACTAGAAATGAACACATGAATAATACTCACGTAACATGTAAAACGGGTCAATCAACTTATGTACACAAAACATGTTAAGCCTTTTTCGCGTGAACCGAATACGCTCAGGCAAACTTACAACACCATCGGGCAAAGGAAATTCTCCCCTTCCCGATAGTGCTCTTGGTTTGCGTGGGCGTACTTCCATAGAGGGAACTCTAAGACAAGAAGGTCCCGAAATAAAGTGCTCAACTTTTTGGCTCAGCTCTGGTACTATCTTCGGTCCCAAGCTAATCGATTCACCCCTCGAAACATAGGAAAAACCAATAACCCCTCATTTTGTCTGTCAAACTTTCATAGCGAATCAAAACAAACATTGCGTAGTACTAGAATTTCGACTAGAATGGGGTACGTTAATCGTTTGCTTGGGACCAATAGGCTAGTCAAGTAGTGAGCCAATTTTAAACCGTTAGTTTCGTTTTGATTGTTGGTACTTCGGTTCTCGTGAAAAGGGCCTAGCAAATTATTTACAAAAGTTGATAGGCCCTTTTCAAATGTTACGCGAGCATTATTCATGTGTTCATTTTTAGTAAACAGGGTCCCGCTGTTGTGTCAAAAAAATTTCAGTAGATGAGTACCAAAATTAATTAAGTGGAATTAAATGGAAGATAACCTTTTTTGCTGTTTTATTTAGCATTCCGCTAACAACCCAATTTCATTACTTCATTATGATGGCTACCAAGCCTTTGGGGATTTTCCTTATTAGAGAGTTGTATAGATTTTTCTCCTTTAGCTTACTTAAATCTTTGGTTTTTATTAGTTAGGTAGGTTCCGATTCAACACATGGTAGTTTCATTTTTATACCTATGATCTTGACTTTTTTTACCTAGGGGATGAGTACTTAAGGGGGTTAGATTTTGATAAGTTCTTTAGTGGGAATGACACTGATGAAGACTGCACATTGTAGTCGAAATACGTATCTATCATGGATACCAAAATTAATTAAGTGGAATTAAATGGAAGATAACCCTTTTTTTTGCTGTTTTATTTAATTGGAATGTGTTGGGATTTCTGAGGAAATTTTCATTTGACGGCAATTGAGAAACATATGGAAATATTGGATATTGCAGGTATCGATAAGCACTGGATTTCATTTATCGTTCTGCTTACAAAATCCTTGTGAATGGAACGATGCAAAGTCAGCTCAAAACACTGAATATTTTTCAAATGGTACTTCTGACTCTTGTCCCAAATTTTGCTGCTTCTCTTTAGACTTCAAAATGTAAACACTTAATTCCAAATTTACGCGGTCATGTTTTTGCTCCTACGAAACCTAATGAAATCAAAGTTTGATGCAATTGGTTCCAAAAAAAAAAAGAAAGTGTTCAAAGAAGGAAATGATACATCTAACAATCTACATTCTAAGTTTACCACAGTTTTGTTTTGTGAGTTAGCTACTCTTATCTACGATTACCTAAAATTATCGGTAAAAAGTTATCGATATTTTTTACCGATAAATAGTTATGGACATACCGATGCTCTACCCACGTCCACCAACCAACCGACCGTGGCCTAGACGCTGACTCAACAACATCCCCGTATTCGACTCCATGCACGAGGCACCTGGCGACAAGAATCAGCATATCACACCACATGGATGGAAACAGGCCAACGCTCACTCGACAATGCACTTTGGACACCGAAGAATTCGATGACCAGCAATTGTCAACATAGCAGTTGACGATCGGTTACCACCCAGAGGAGTTTTGCTGAGACAGCAGGAACAACAAACAAAACCAGTTGCAGAGGCAGGAGCGAGCGTAGTTTTTTGTTAGGTTCTAGTTGAGAAGAGTTGTTGTTCAGATTTAGTGTTAAAAGTTAAATGTAATTAACTTTAAGGGAATAAAGATAATTATTTTTTTATGTTGCCAAGAATTATCCTGGCATAAGTAAATATCATTTCTTTTTACTTTAGATAGGCTATTTTTTACTATTCAATTGGTAATTTTTAACGTTAATTATTGGTTATCCATGATCACCGATAATTTAGGTATGTGCACTTTCTTCGATTATCGGTCATCTCTTCCGATTTCAAGGTATTTGTGAGGTGCACAATTGACTGAATGGATTACCATTCAGTCATAGTGCAATATCCATTGATGATCCCCTCGACGAGCTGTCAACTGGATGAACAGGATGAATCTATTCATCCTCTTTAATCTTACCACCCAACGACGCTTCAATCAGCAAGCATCTCGTTCGTCCTCTTTCGTCGCAGTGCAGTTGAATAGGTAGGTCGTGCCTGCTCTCCAAAAG